AATGTGAAATAAATGTGGATAAATCGATAATTCCAAAAATCTAAAATTTAGAAACGTTGAAAAATAGAAAAATAAAAATATCGAGACAGCGAAAATTTGAAAAATCGAGAAATTGATGAATCGAAAAGTTGAAAAATCCCACAACTGAAATGCAAATAAATTCGGAAATCGAAAAATTGGAAAATCTAAACATCGAAAATTTGGAAAATCGAAGAATTGAAATACCAATAACTAAAAATTCGAAAAATTGAGAAATCGATAACTCGACAAATCCAAACACCGTAAAATTGGAACATCGAGAAATTGAAATGTCAAAAGAGCGAGAAATCGAGACGCTAAAAGTCGAAAAAGCGAAAAGCAGAAAAATCGAAAAATTAAGTCTGAAAGAACTGTGATAAATCGATAAATCGATAAATCGAAAAAAGGAAAAATCGTAAAATTTAAATTACTAAAAATTGAAAAATCGAAGAATTGAAGAACTGAAAACTTTAAAACTGAAAAATCGAGAACTTGAGAAATCAAGGAAGCGAAAAAAAGTCAAGAAATCCAGAAATTATAGAATCGAAAAAAAAAAGAAGCGCTGAAAAGTCGAAAAATTTTTAAATCGAATACTTCAAAAACGTGAAATTGATAAATCGAAAAACATAGAAATCGAAAGAAAAAAACAGAAATCGAAAATTTGAGAAATCCAGAAATTATAGAATCGAAGAATTGAAAAATCCCAATCTGAAATGCAAAAAATTGGAAAATCGAATAGTAGAAAAACCAAAAAGTCGAAAAATTGAAATATCAAAAGATTAAGAAATCGAAAAACGAAAATTCGAGATGTGGAAAAATCTAAATAGCACAAAATATAAAAATTAAAAATTGAAACATGAAAAAATTTAAATTTAAAAACAATCGATAAATCGAAAGATTGAAAAATCGGGAAATTGAAAAATTCAAAAATTTAAAAACCGAAAAATTGAAAAATCAAAAAATATCGAATTTAAAAAACCAAAAATGGAAAAATCAAGAAACTGAAAAACAAAAGAAAACCAGAAATCGAAAAATCGTATAACTGAAAACAAAACGAGAAATCGATAAATCGAAAAATCTAAAATTTAGAAACGTTGAAAAATGTAAAAATTTAAAATTCGTAAAACTGATAGATCGGAAAACGGAAAAATCGAAAAATAAAAAAATCGAGACAGCAAAAATTTGAAAAATCGGGAAATTGATGAATCGAAAACTCCTACAACCGAAATGCAAAACAATTGGGAAATTGAAAAATTGGAAAATCAAAACATCGAAAATTTGGAAAAGCGAAGAATTGAAAAACCAAAAGCTAAAAAAATTCGAAAAATTGAGAAATTGATAACTCGAGGAATCCAAACACCGTAAAATTGGATCATCGAGAAATTGAAATGTCAAAAGAGCGAGAAATCGAGAAGTGAAAAATAAAAAATTAAAGTCTGAAAGAATTAATCGATAAATAAAAAAATGAAAATTTGAAGAGCAATTGAAGAAACGCTGAAACTGAATCATTGAAAAACTGGGATCGAGTAATCGAAAAATGGAAATACCAAAAAACCTAAAAAATTAAAAAATCAAAAAATTGAATTGAAAACTTTAAAACTGAAAAATCGAGAACTCGAGAAAAAGACAAATCAGAATATCAAAAATTCAAAAAGTGGGAAAATCGTAAAATTGAAAAATCGAAAAATCTAAAATTTAGAAACACTGCATAATCGAGAAATTAAAGAATAGAGAACTTGGAAGACCCCAAAACTGGAATGAAGAACAATTGAAAAATCGAAAAATTGGAAAACCAAAAATTAGAAAAATCGAAAAATTGCGAAATCGAGAACTGAAGAAATTCAAACACCGAAAAACTGAAACATCGAAAAATGGAAATACCAAAAGATCCAGAAATCGACAAACGAAAACTCGAGAAGTGGAAAAATCTGAATAGTCCAAAATCGAAAAATTAAAAATTAAAACATTGAAAAATTTAAATTAAAAAAAAATCGATAAATCGATAAATTCAAAAAACCGAAAAATTGGAACACGGAAAAATGTAAAATTTTAGAAAAGAAAACTAGAAATATTCAGAAACTGAAAAATAAAAGAAAATGAGAAATCTAGAAATTGTACAAAACTGAAAAATGAAAGAAAAATTGAAAAATCAAAACACTGAAAAAATCCAAAATTGAAACATCGAAAAACCGAGATACGTAACTAAAAATTGAAAAATAGAGAAATCGCAAAATTGAAAAATCAAGGACTGAGAAATCGAGGAACCGAAGAAAAGTCGTGAAATCGAGAAGTGGGAAAATCAGAATATCAAAAATCTAAAAATCGAAAATTCGAAAAGTCAAGAAATCGGAAAGTCGAAAAATCGAAAAATCCAAAATTTACAAATGTTGAAAAATCGAAGAATTTAAAAATCGACTACCTAAAAAATCGTAAAACTGATACATATATCAAAAAAAACGAGAAATCGAACATTTGAAAATTCGGGAAATTGAAGAATCGAAAAAAATATTCAAAAATAGAAACGTCGAAATCTCGATAATTCGGGAAATTGAAAAATCCAAAAATTTAAACATCGAAAAGTTGGAAAATCGAAAAATGTAAAATTAAAGATACGAAAAATAGAAAAAAACAAGGAACTGAAAAATAAAAGAAAATGAGAAATCGAAAAAACGTATATTTAGAATTTAAAAATCCGAAAATTAAAATATTAAAAAATTGAAGAATCGGGAAATAGATAAATCGAAAAAACGAAAAACTGAAAAATGGAAGAAAAATTCAAAAATATTAACACTGAAAAAACCCAAAATTGAAACATCGAAAATCTGAGATAACTAAAAATTGAAAAATAAGGAAATCGAAAAATCGAGAAACCAAAAACCTTAAAAATCGAAAAATCGAAGAATTGAAGAAACGAAAACCTTAAAATTGAAAAATCGAGAACTCGAGAAATCAAGGAACTGAAAAAAACTCGAGAAATCGAGAGATAGGAAAATCAAAATATCGAAAAATGTAAAAGTCGAGAAATCAGAAAGTCGAAAAATCGAATAATCCAAAATTTAGAAATGCGGAAAAATCGAAAAATTTAAAATTCGAAAACTTGAAAAAAATGGAAAAATCGAGAAAACGAAAATTTGAATAAGCGAGAAACTGAGGAAAACCGAAAAATTGAAACATCGGGAAACTAAAATATCAAACGATCCAGAAATCGAGAAACCAAAAAAAATGTGTTGACAAAAATAGTCTTCAAGGAACAAAAATGCCACACTTAAAATGTGTCAATATTTTCCTATAGTGTCGTTTGGAAAACCGATTTTATTAAATTACGCGTTTAGTTTTAAACACAATTAATTAGAGTTTCCATTAGCATTAAAGCCTGTGCAAATAACCAAATTCATAATTAAAAACATGAATAATAAAATCCAAAACTACGGATAACGTAATGACGTTAATAATTTCGAACCGGTTTATTTTAGATAAGCCCTAATTTGACGAAATTTTGTTCCATTTTATTACAATGGCGTTATCTTATAAAGCAACAAAAAGGATTTAATTATATCACAAAATTATTTACATAGAATTAATATTAAAGAGGGTGGCGAGTTTATACAAAACGAAATTAACGCCGAGAGTATAATTTAACGACCCACTGACACATTTTAAAAATAACATGACAGCAGCAAGACATTATCCTGTTTCATTAGTCTTTTTAAAGTAAATTTGCGCGAATGATAAAATATTTAAAAAATTCTTATACAATTTTGATTTTTTTGTCTGAGGTAAAAACTCAACACGGATTCATAAACCACAAATAGTAGTTAAAAGTGGCAATTTGCCAAGGTCGGCTTAAAAAGTTAGTTTTGCTAATAGTCGCAGAAATAAACCGTAGACGCTGCTTTATTCCCACAACTCCAAGTTTCCTCTCATCCAGTGCTTCCCAAAGTAAATAAAAAACTTATATTACACTATCATCTCCACGTTCGTTTTGTGTTCCTCCGGTTACCCTCGCCCCCATTTAAATGCTCGAAAGACACCTTTATTTGCCATCATTACCTAGCATTAAAAACTTTGAACATTCGCCTAATGGAACCCGGCCACGGTGATTGACGTTCTCTGTCCGTGTGCCAGGAACAATGTTCCCAGCAACAATACTCTTTTTACCGGCCTTCCCGTACCTCTGCCCACGGAACCAAGACAATCCAGGTTAATCCGTTCTCCTCCTTGTTCTTAACAGCCATTATGAATTTCTTCCGCTCCCGTCCGTTTATTGAAAGTTGAGGTCTATTGTTGTAGCCGGGCCGATCTCCCACTTCGAAAATAATTACGGCTCCGTCCAATTTGTAACTCGATAACCCGGCCCAGAATTCGTGCTGCAATGTTGGTAATGTGGTCGTGTCCCGGATACGCGAGGCCCTATCAAGTCGGCGTCTTAATGACGTCACCGATACGGCCACTAACAATATGCAAACACGCAAACACGACTGCATCGCATAAAGGGCTCGATAAATAAAAAGGGCGAAAAGGGCGCTGACGGACCTAGATAATAAAGTGTGGACAATGCAGCAACAAACCGCACCTTATATTCGTTGTTCCATCTGTTCGGTAACTTGAACCGGCTTCTGCGGATTACACTATATTGAATTAGACGTCTCGATTTTCCACTCATTTTGTGTCTAGTATGTGCGTAATTGCGTTATCTTTCGGTTGTTCATTTGGGCTGGCGCCGGCCCTGGCGCGGGGCCCGAAATAGCCGTCCTTCGTGCAGCTGCGGTGCCACTTCAGTAACAATATGCAAACACGCGATTTGACGTTTTTATCGGCACAGACGCTTGACTTTGTAAAGTTGCTGCAATATATTAGGATATATGGCCCTCGAACGGCTGTATTTCCCCGGAAAATTGTATAGGACGATCTGAATAGAGAGAGGAAAAGCGGCGCGGTTCGATACACCTGAATCGATATTTATTCGTGTTTATTGTTTGCAGGAATTTTGAGGATAAAGGCCGCTGGAGGGAGGTGAGTGATAGATTTATGGTTGTGTTTGTGGCCGGAGTGACGGAATGTCATTCTGGGGCGCCGTTTCTGCCGAATATTGCAAATTACTTCATTAGCAAGTCGGTCCTGGATACAGTTATGCAAGGACCTACGGCGCAACTATTCGATCAATTCGTGGTATCTGTAGCGGGCCGAGGCGCCAGATGGATGTACAGTGGCAGACAACAATAATAACTTGAAGATATCGCCTGATTTATGGTCAGCTAATACAGGATGTTCGAAATGGGATTTTCATGTAGGCTTCGAACCCCTTTTATCATTACGCGCATCGAAAAGTTGCCAGGGATGAATGCGTGTTTGCGAGCTTTGTTAACACAAAGTATGAAAAAATATTGACAGTGCAGTCGACCAGTCGACATACAAAAGACAGAGCCGCACAAAAAACTGTGACGACCTTGAACAATATTGATTCAAATAAAAACACATACATACACATTTTCTTGTGGTAAGTAATTTAGTTAGTTTTGCTCGAGCGAATCCGCCACAATACGAATGTCTGTGAAGACAATCTTGCGCTGCCATTGTTCAAACACATTCCCGTTTTTCTAGTACAGTAAATAACACAACATAAGAAGATTAAACATTCCTGGGAAAACCTACGCCGAGACTCAATCGACAACAACATTTATTCAAGCAACGACGGGAGTTTTTGCCAGCCATGCATTTACTCATTGTTCTTTGGCTGCAAGCATCTATTATTTCTTGTTACGAACTGTGTTCAAACTTCACGTATTTGTGTAAATTAGAAAATCGACACTTAATGCAGCTCGCATCCTATGTATTAAACTCATAAATTCACGCTCGTGCTTGCACTAACTTGCGAAAATGTTTAAAGTTTGCCTTGTATGAACTCGTGTATTTTCTATGCAACAACGAAGATGGTTGAGGAGGTGGTGAATCATGATGTGTTTTAGCTGAAAGCAAATAAAGTGGAATGAATGGATTGCGATACTTTGCTCTTCGTGAGTTTCTAAAGTAGGTTAGCTTAGTGGCATTGTTTTACATTTCGGAGTTTTATCACAAAAATACTAAATATTTGCAAAAAATTGCAAGTCAGGTCAGGTCGGATGAGGCCAGTTTTCGCTCCTCATAAAACTACTCAAAAATGTGTTAAGAGAATAAAGCAAAAAATGTATATAGGTCTCACAGATTTTGGGGCGCACATTGAATTATTATCGAAATTTTTATAGATTTTCAAAAATTCGCATTTTTTGTCTATTTTGGGAATTATCACGTCGAGATCCACATCTCTGAATTTTTTGACAATTTTTAGACAACATTTTCAAAAATGAAATTTTCAACTATGTAATTTTTCGATTTGAAAATTTTTGGGGTTTCCAATTTTTATTTTTTCATTTTTCAATTTTTCAATTTTTTAATTTAAAAGTAAAAATGAAAACCTTGAAAAATCTAAAAACTTGAAAAATTGAAGAAATAAGAAATTGAAAAGGTTTAAAGTCTGGGCTAAAAAAAATTAAAGTGGCTCCACCCTCCTCGTTTTCTGCTTGATCATTCATTTTATTGGATGAAAAATAGAATTTGTGGTGATAAATAGTAGAATTTAAACAAAAAATGTGAAACCGATCCTACCCACCTCCACTTTTGAATTGCATTGGCTTATTTTACTTATTGTGAGATGAAGATAGAATTTTATTGTTTCAAGTGGTCGAATCGCTTAAAAAAACTTCAAAATGACCCCACCCACTCACCTCGTTTGCTTTCTGATCAGTTATTCTATTGGACGAAAAGTGGATTTTATATTGACAAAGAGTGAAATCTGAACAAAAAGGTAAAATTAATCCCACCCACCTCTACTAGTACTTGCTAACATAAGACTAATTTTTCCAAATGACATACATTCTAAGAAAATAGAGGGCGGGTGGGCGGGGCTACTGCTTGCTTATAAGACTCTTAAGAAAAAATCTAAACTCAGCTTCGCCTACCTTTTTTCTCTACTTCACTGACTAAGGTTTAAAACAAAGTCAAAGTTGCTAGCCCCACCCACCCACCCTTTATTTTCATAGATAGTATGTCATTTGCCAAAATCTGTTTTATCCATAGAGTACTAACTCCACCCACCTGGGTTGTTCTCATTCTAACCACTAATTTTATTTCTGTTTAGTGCAAGATCCACATTCAGAACAGATAAATGAATCACTGAAATGGAGGCGGGGCGGGTGGGCGGGGTTAATTATGTGATCTTTTGAGAGTGGGAATAGGAACTAATAGAACTGAGGCTGTCAAAAAAAAGAAAAAAGAAAGTTAAAGGTAATTTTCATTTTATATTAGGTATTTGGTATAAAATGTATTTCTTATTCCAGAAGAAAAAAATTGGAGAATGGGTGAGCAGGCGGGGATAAGTTTCAACTTTTCCTACAGTCTTTTATAAGCAAGTAATTGCCCCACCCACCCACCCCTCTTCACTCTTGTGACTGCTCTTAACACTTATTTCATTGGACGAAATGTGGATTTTATATTGCTATTTATTTTGTAGAGAGTTCGAATCTACGATTGAAAAAACTTGAAGATTTCGACCTATTTTTTAATTTTTTAATATTTTTTACTTCTTCAATGTGTCAATGTTTCGTTTCTTCAGTTCTTTGATACGCAATTCTTCGATTTTCCATTTTTTCAATTTTGTAATTTCCCGTGTTTTCAGTTTTTCGATTTTTCAACTTAAAAGTAAAAATGAAAACCTTGAAAAATCTAACAATTGGAAATGAAGAACTTGAAAAATTGAAGAAATGAAAAATTGATAATACCCAAGGTTTAAAGTCTAAGAAATTTAAAAATAGAGAAAGTGCAAAATATTAATAAATATTAATTAATTAATTAGTGGTCAAATCTGTGCTTAAAAAAATTCAAAGTGGCCTATTTACTTTAGATGGAGATTTAATTTTATTTTGTCAAGTGTTCGAATCTACGACTGAAAAAAACTTCATATTGCAAATTCCGAGCCATTTTCGACCATTTTCGAAATTTAAGTGAATACATTTCTTCGATTATTCGAATTATTTTTTCAGAATAACCCACTGAAATATCGCAATTTTTAAAAATTTCGAAAAATTTCATATTTTACGCCGATTATTTCCAAAATATTGCTCCGTGATCATAAACAGGCTATATTTTTAGAATCAGCGAATTTTTTGAGAATTTTTAAACTTGACAACAAAAATGATATTTTTTTCAACAATTTTGAAAATTTGTTCATTCAAAATAGTTTCAAGAAAAAAGGAATTAAAAAAAATTCACTTGACAAAAATCGAAAACTAGTACGGCGAGATGTAGATCACAGAATTTCATATTTTAGGCAACTTTTTCTGATAGTTCAATGTTTCTCCTTATAAAAATTTTGAATTTTTTCGATTAAAGCGCCGAATAAAATGTAGGAATTTTTACGAATTTTCAAAAAAAAGATTTTCAGATCGAAGATCAGGACTGTAAACACGCGATATTTTTCGAAACAGCACGTCGATTTTTATACAAGAGGACTGTTTCGCGATTTTTAACCTAGTCGATTATTTTCTTCTTCGATTTTTAATTTTTTCATTTTTTCAATTTTTCGATTTTTCAACTTAAATGTAATAACGGAAACCTTAAAAAATCTAACAATTGGAAATGAAGAACTTGAAAAATTGAAGAAATGAAAAATTGAAAATACCCAAGGTTTAAAGTCTGAGAAATTTAAAAATCGAAAAAGTGCAGAATCGAAAAAACGAAATATAAATAAATATTAATAGATATCAATTAATTAACTAGTGGTCAAATCTGTGCTTAAAAAAATTCAAAGCGGCCCCGCCCATCCTCCCCGCTTTTTTCTTGATCACTCATTTTATTGGATCAAAAATGGAATTTGTGTTGGTAAATAGTGGAATCTAAACAAAAAATGTAAAACTAATCCCACCCACTTCCACTTTTGAATTTCATTGGAATATTTTATTTACTTTAGATGGAGATTTAATTTAATTTTGTCAAGTGTTCGAACCTGCAATTGAAAAAAGCTTCATATTGCAAATTCCGGGCCATTTTCGACCATTTTCGAAATTTAAGTGAACACATGTTTTGATAGATTTTATGATTCAGAGGTCACTTCCGGCCTCATTTCTTCGATTATTCGAATTATTTTTTCAGAATAACCCACTGAAACATCGCAATTTTTATCCGAAATTGTTTCAAGGAAAAAGATATTAAAAAAAATTTCACCTGACAAAAATCGAAAACTAGTACGTCGAGATGTAGATCCCAGAATTTCAGCTTTTAGGCAACTTTTTCTGATAGTTCAATTTTTCTCTTTTTAAAAATTTCGAATTTTTGCGATTGAAGCGCGGAATAAAATGTGGGAATTTTTACGAATTTTCAAAAAAAAAATTTCTAATCGAATATTTCCAAGATCAGGACTGTAAACACGCGATATTTTTCGAAACAGCATGTCGAAATCTACATGCCATAATTTTTTTTTAGATTTTAGATTTTTTTTTTTAAAGCTTCGTTTTTCAATATTACAATACAACAATACATCCCTTATGAAAATTTTAATTTTTTTGCAACCACTTTTGAGGATTACCGAAACATTTTCGGCCTCATTTCTTTCAAAACTCCTAACTACCATTTTTCCAAAATCGCGTAATGAGATGATGTGATTTTTGGTACTTAAAAAAACCCAAATATACTTCAGGGACAATAATCACGCTATATTTTTCGAATCAGCACATCGATTTTTACTACCCTTTATGAATTTTTGGATCTTTTTTTCGACTAGTTTCGAAAATTTCCGCGATCATAAATAGGCTATATTTTTAGAATCAGCACTTCGATATCTATATCTCCGAATTTTTTGAGTATTTTTAAAAAACTTTTTCAAAAATGAATTTTCCAACCTATTACAAATACATTTTCTCGTAGATTTTGACCCTATTTCTTCAATTACTCGAACTGTTTTTCCAGAATCGCTCATTGAAATA